CAAACAAACAAACAAACAAACTTACACTGATAAATTAGAGACGGCCAGCGCAGACAGCCCTCGTGAAGGTTTGCGCGAAATTCAAAACAAACAAAGTAGAACGTAGTAATGTAGTCCGCGCTTTTGATAAAAATTAAAGGTTAGGTTGACCTTGGGAACTTAAGACTGCGTGGGTGGGTGTGAAGAACGTGAGTCTTGATGGGTGTAACATGCTTAAGTTCGTGTAAAACAATAAAAACGAACACAGGTGCAAAAGGACATTGAAACTGTTCGTCTGTCTTTTCAACTTCATAAAACAACCCTGCGACTGTAACTTTGGTTTAGAGGAGTGGTTGTATTAGTATTCAAAGAAACAAAGTCGTTTTAGGTACTCGGGAATCAAATAATTTCGTGCAATTAACTTTAGCCAAGCAAACAACTGTTGCCATAAAAAAAAACGGCGGTTTTTTCAACCAACATTTGACAGCCAAATGCTTTTTTTTTTCGCTTATTTTAAATTCTCTCAAGCACAGTTTTAAGAACTAAAATGATTCATTATCCGAAACTATTTCACGCAGTGAGAAAAAGAACTAGAAATTTTTACTACGTAATAAAAGAAAGCTCGTTTTAGTTTTATTATCACAAGAGTTGAAGAGGAATAGAATGCCTAGAGGTTCCCCAAAAAACAACAACTCCAAACAGCTTTGGACTTACTATGTGACCAACATTTATAACTAATCATTTTTGGTAACAAAAAACATACACGTAGATTATTCTTTTTGTTATATATATATATTATTTCATGTTACATCTCCCAACTCCACAGATTGTTTCGACTTTGGATGTTGTATTTGTTTGTTCCGAATATAGGCGCAAAACTACAGAAGGGCTATCTGCGTAAGCCGTCCTTATAGACTACAGGGAAGGCAACTAGTTAATAGCACCCATTGCCAACTTTTTGGACAACCCCAATCGAAAAGTTATAATTCCGCAGACATACAGCTGGCGGGGGGGGGGGCTATTGAAGTGAGTTGAAGAACAAAAACTTATACCAGAACAATCTTGTTTGTGACATTTTCCGAATCCCAGTCCCACCAAACATGCTCGCTCTTTCA